CGAGAAAACAAACTTTACTAAGAGCTTCACAGGATAGAAGTAAAGGAGAGCCATGATCACCCACGTTCTGTTGGGACACGGCACACAGAAGAAGAAAATTGTATATATATATATATATATATAAAATTTGGACTTTGCCAATCAGAATGGTAACAACACTTCAGGTGATATGATAGTTCTCATAAGGATTAGAGATTCTATTCCTGTCGGAGGACGCATATTTTCTACGAAATTTAACGAACATTAAGGCCGGTAAATATAATCAATACTGTTTAATTAAAAAGCACGGCATTTACTTAAATAAATTCTATCTATAAAAATAACGTATAAACAGAAAATATATTAAATAATTGTCGGACTTAATCCATTTCATAATATATATATATATATATATATATATATATATATATATATATATAATCGTATATTTGGGCAGCAATCCCTCTTTTATACAAATTTCATTCAAAAAGACCAATAAGGTACTGCGGTTAAAACTTGTGTTCTCATAACTTGCTTCTTTTCTATACATGCATTATGTAGAATTTGAACGAATGTTCTGTATAACCGAGCGCTTTCGGCTAAGCTTTTAGTCATTATCAAGGATGATTTTATTTTTACTTTTACTGAATGTATGGATTTTTTTATGTAGGTATCTAGAGTTATAGGAATGTTTTATTTTCCAAATACAGTCAGTAAAGTGTGACCGTGTTCGTAGTTGATGTTATTGAATGTTGGCTTGTCTTTATTATTAATAATGCTGACATTATTTTTAGCCGTTTTTTAACACGTGGATGTGGCTATTATATTTGTATTATTGTAATTTATATATATAAATGTACATTGACGTTAACATCCAGCGGCGACAGTGTGTTTCGTGGTTAAACGCAATCGTCAGGTCATACATTTAAGCATAGAAATAAGTCCTATTTATACATTTTGGGTGAAAAAGTATTTGTACAATGCAAATTTCAGAGTTTAAAACTTTTAAATTGCTTTAATACTCTAGATTACTCAAGTGGAATATTCTAGAATGTTCCAATAATGTTATCAGTAGTTATTTTTAGCCCCCCAAAATACAAACAGAACATTCTGTAATTGATATTCGTGCAAGAAGGTTTTCAGCATGGCAAGAAGTAAAGAACTGACAAATTTGCAAAAATAACTGATTATTAAGCACTGGAAAGAAGGTAAAAGTTACAGGAAAATCTTAGGCAACCTGAATATTTAATTTATTACCATTAGTTCATTCATTGCAAAGTATAACAACTTCAATATTGTTGAAAACCAAAGAACTGGTGTTCCACGGAAGACTTCTTCAAGATTTTCGAGGAAATATAATACGTTAAATTAAACAAAATCCAATGGTTACTCGTTAAGATGTGCAGGATGATTTTCTTTCACCAGGAATCACTAAATGGACAATAAGCAATGAAATTCATAGGAATAATCTAAAGTCAGCCTCATCTCGGAAAACTTAACTCCTATTGAAAAAACAAAGAGGTGCCAAGTTGAAATTTTTTCGTGAACATAAGGATAAGGAAAAATTGTATTGACAAAGAGTATTATGGACAGACGAAACCAAAACTGAGTTTTTTTAGAGATAATTCTAGAAATCATGCAGGGAGGAAAGATGGCGATGCCTTCAAACAAAAGAACACAGTTCCAACAGTGAAATTTGGTGGTTGCAACATCATGGATTGGGGATGTTTTTCTGCAAAGTTACTGGCAACATATCACTAACAGATGTTAGAAAGAATGTTGAATATAGCAACATATTAAAATATTTTGGAAGCAAATTTAATGATTTCACTTGAAAATCTTGAACTTTCTCCTGACTGGATCTTCCAACAAGATAATGTTCCTAAGCACACTTCCAGATCAACGAAGAAATGGCTTGCTGAAAATAATGTAAATATCCTGAAATGGCCAAGTCAGTCCCCAGATTTAAACCCAATCAAGAATTTGTGGCATTATTGGAAAATTTAAATCCAATCGAAAGCTTTAACAAACATCCCGCATCTGAAGACCATTTGCAAAGAAGAAGGAAACAAAATACCAACTAAAATTTGCAAATCATTAATTGAGAACTACAAGAAGAGGTTAGTTGCTGGAGAAGTGAATAATGGCTATTCTAGAAAGTATTAAATGAAGATTATATATTCTTTTTTGTATAGTTCGAATACTTCGTCACCCATTAAAATGGATACATCGGACTTATTTCTATTAAATCAAATTTGTTCCTGTTTACTATGCATATTTATTTATTATGCATCTGCGTACAGTTAATTATATGAAAAGTATGTTTATTCATTAGTTGTAAATAAAATAAATTAAAAATTTGCATGTGTATGAATATTTGTTTCACCCCACTATATATATATATTGCCAATAATAAATATACTTTGTTCCTCGCGATTTGGCGCAACTCTGAGTTTAAAATTTTATTTAGCGGTCAGTTTTCAATTTATTCTAACGATTGTGGCAATCGTTAGAATAAATTGAAAACTGACCGCTAAATAAAATTTTAATATTAATATTTCTAACCTATTAAAATTGTAATGTTAATATTTATAGCCTAATTTGATATAGTGGGACAATCCATTTACTTATGAAAAAAATATATGGGTTAAAAATTGATTAAATACAAAAGGAAATTGTCAAAAAATACATACACTTATTTACATCCAATTACAGATACACACACACACACACACACACACACACACATATATAAATATAAGGCATTTTTATGTTTATAGATACAAATATTTAAGTAAATGCCCTGCTTATAATAAACTGTATTAATAACATTTACCGGCATGAATGTCCGAGAAATTTTTATCGAAAAATATTTGTCCTCTGACTGGAATCGAACCTGTATTCTATACAGAACCGTCATATAGCCTGACGTGCCTTAACCGATTGAGCTACAGAGGATCGTTCGACTAGCAAAGTCGATTTTACTGCTTTTAAACTACAATCATCCATGAATCTCTCACATACAATCATATCTACTCAAAGCATATCTAAATGTAAACAAATGACGTCACACATTCCATATTCACATTTCATAATATATATATATATATAATATATATATATATATATATATATATATATATATATATATATATAATATTCACCAGCACGACCTGATTTTTGAACTTACTCTTATCAGGTGGAATGGTAAATAATAAAATTCACGCTAAAATTACACGTATAAATAGGAAGTGGGGGGACTTAAGAAAAAATAAAAGAAAATTTACAGTTGGCTACATACTCATCCAGGTTCATACAAATTTAATGTGTCTTTGTTAGTGTGTCTACACTTAGACATAATGTCAGACCTTTCGTTTAAAAGCTCGTCTTTGTTGGGGTATGTTACAACAGCAGACTTCTCTTTGCAGAGCCTACAAACGCTACTTTTAAAGCTACAGGGCTTAACTCAATGTACTCCACTCAGTGTCCGGGCTCCTGTTCCACTTGCCTATAAAATTCCACACATGGCTTGATAGCTTATTGCAATGCCTGTGTTTCTTCAGCTTGAACGAAGATCTATGATTACACTACCTTTTTTTAAATTCACCTTCCATACATCCCACGTTGATCTTATTCTTTTCGTCGAAATTCTCCAACTGTGCTTTATAAATTACACCCGTAATCCAACGGACACCTGCTTCTTTCTCCGCAGTTAGGGCCGGTGCTATGGTCTCGGCCACACAAAACTCTGATACGCCCCCCTCTCCACTACTTGTTGATTTCAAAATTTTCCTAATCTGAGGGTCACAAACCCTCGAAGGAAAATTAGGGATGTGAGGTGATGAAGGACAGCACTTTTTTTTTAAATTACTAAAAATCAGGGAATTATCCAATTTAAATGAAAATTTCAGTATATACTCATTAATTATTTACTTTTATATTGAATAGATGTTTTTTAAAAAGTTTGAAATAATGTTATTCTTTTTGTACTAACCACCAATATTTTCATGACTAAAATTTACTTGAAAAAAATGTTTAAGTCGCAAATCTTTTCATTTTCCTAAAGATTAATCGGTGACGCAGCTCCGCTGAAAAAAAAAAAAAAAAATACAAAGCTTCCAACACAACACAAACGGGATTGTCTTAAAAATTTGTTTTATAAACAGTATTTCATTTTTCGGGAAAATATTTCACGTGTTAAAATCTTTAAACATTTTTACTTTTCAAGCAATTATTTTCTGGGTTTTATATTTCTAGAAATGTAAAAAATAGGGCCTAGAAATTTTATTTTAATTACTAGAGGTGGACTCCTGCTTAGTACTTATTAGTAGTAAAAAAAAGAAAAAAATCAGAGATTCTCTATAGTGGATGATCTTGGGATAAAAAATGATTTTACCGAGATATGTTACCCTCTTAAGTGATTTTAAAGAACTGTTCCGAAAGAAAATTACAATTTTAAAAAAATATGTGCACTTGTAATTAGCCCTTCTGTGCCGTTCTGGGTTTACAGATATACGTACAATTATTTTGTTTTTTTTAATCAAAATTAGAAAAATAAAATACGTCTTTTAAGATTTAAGACTAGACAAAAAATGTTAAAAAGGTTTTAATGGGATTTTTTGATTAATTGCTGCAGCAACGTCAAGGAAAAATATAAATTGTGTCACAGGCTGAAAAGACAAGGTGTGAAAAAATTGCGTTTAAAATCCGTCACTTAATAACACAAATCTTCAAAATACAGACGAGAGTTAGCTGTTGAAAAAACAAAAGCAAAAACAAAGACAAAAAAACAAAAAAAACAAAAACAAAAAAAAAACAAACAAACAAATAGAAAGAGTTTAGTTTGTATCGAATTTCAGTTTTGTCCCGTGAAGAAATTTCAAAGAGACAACAGTAAAAAATATATTAATCAGTAAGTGTATCACTTCCAATGTTTTTATTATTCCAGATAGTTTAAAAATTTTGGTCTATTCTATTCAATATATTTCACTGTTGTGCGAGCTATTTTTTCCTCCTTTCAGTCAATAATTCTTCATTATCTATCTATCTATCTATCTATCTATCTATCTATCTATCTATCTATCTATCTATCTATCTATCTATCTATCTCGGGCTTCTTCCTATCTATCTATCTATCTATCTATCTATCTATCTATCTATCTATCTAGTATATTTCTTTCCCCTAATGACAATCTATGAAAAGAGGTAACAAAATAATTTTCGACAAAATATCGCTTTCCCATCTTTGTATCTTTTTACATTTTTTTTTCAGATTCCAGCGTCTCTTCGTGCCATGTTTAAATTAACAGAACTTTCAGTGGACATGGTTGCCTTGCTACATCTAATTGCGATCTTATATTTTCTAATAGGGACCCTTGGAGGTAAATATTAAATATGAATTTCAAAATGGCCGTCTCTAAATAAATGGTCAACTTGACTGAAATTGACAAAAAATATAATCACGAATGTGTATTTTGGATTGGTGGCATGGAGGGATGCAAAGGCTAAGATGAATTCACCAGGTTCGTGTGAGGGCCGGTGAGTGACGTCAGGTCATAGAGTGACATACACCAGTTGCTTATTTAGACAATTAGGACTGTAGACATAATCCGACAAGCCCCAAATTGGTAGGGAGAACATCACAGTCCATATGGTTCCATGACGGACATAGAACATACCACCGGCCTGGCAGTTTTCCCTTTGGTGAATATTGCATCGAAGATCCCCTCGCTTTTCACGCTATCAGGCTGTTGTTGTGTAGCCAAATGTTATAGTTTCTCTGTGGGATAAATGCTGACAGGCATATGCAATTTTCAAACAAACGGATATAAATATAGCACAAATTAATGAAAACATTGTTATTGTCAAGTATTGTCTAAAATACTGAGATATCTATACAAGACATTCAGACTAATATCCTCATCATTGTTTTTTTTTAAATGCACTTTTCTCTGTTGTAGTCAATGTTTTTTTTAATACCTTTGTATTGACTGAAATCCTGGGATGTTGCTTGAAAATATTCAGACTTATATCCTCATCAATGTAGCGTTTTTTTTTCATTTTATTTTCTCTGTAGAATTCTATGTTTTCTTTGAATACCTGAGTATTGGCTGAAATCCTGGGATATTGCTTGAAAATATTCAGTCTAACATCCACATGAATGTAGCTTTTTTCTAAAAATCTTCATTTCTCTGTTGTGTTGAATGTTTTCTTGGAATGACTGAGTATTGGATGAAATGCTGGGATTTGCTTGAAAATATTCAGACTAATCCTCACCAATGTAGCTTTTTTCTAAAAATATTCTACTCTCTGTTGTGTTTAATGTTTTCTTTGAATATCTTAGTATTTGCTGAAATGCTGATATGCCGTTTGAAAATATTCAGACTAATATCCTCATCAATGTGGCTTTTTATAAAAATTTCGTTTCTCTTTTGTCATCAATGTTATATATATATATATGTTTGCGTGTGTTTGTGTGTATTTAAGTATGTGTGCGTGTTATAACCATGTTTATATTATGAATTTATTTTAAAATGAATGCAAAATTCCTTCATCTTTAAGTTGATGGTCATTTTCCTTTTGCTTTGCTCGAGGGATTTAAATCAGCCATTATCGGCTTCTCTAAAAAATAATCAGATTCTTCATAAATCCCTTTCAATGAAAACTGTATTGCTAACATTCTTAAAACCAAAATTTCATATTTTCAAATGTTATGACGAACTTTTCCTTATTGAAATTAAAATGTTGTTCCAAAATCCAGTTATTCTACAAGTGCTCCCTGTCGTAAAAAGTTGAGAAACACTGATGTAGATATTCTTGACAAAATCCAAAGAAGAATCTGTTTGGAGTTAATTCCTCCTTCAGTTCGTAACCCTTTCACCAGGGGTCGCTCTTCGGTGCTATAAATAGCCGCTGACCCTTCGCCTCTTTCTCTTTTTTCTCCTCACGCCTTCGCGTCGACACCTGGAGGTGAATCTTTCTTTTTCCTCAAGCTTTCAGCTATCAACCTCAAAATGTAGGCGCTAAGAAGGGATAGCGTGGAAACACGCTAAGCACAATACGCACACACACACTCACATACAGAGTATTCACACACACACTTCGTCCTTTGTACTCTTTCCATGTATTGTAACTTGTTATTGATATATATTTGTATATACATATATTATCGGTCTTGTGTTTTGTTTGCTTTTCTTTTCCTTCTTCTTTGGACTTAATCAAAGTCCAACCTTTTTATGTAGTTGGGCCCGGCGATCAGGAAAAATCTGAACCTTACATGCGTTTCTTCTACGTCTGACTCCACAACATCACAGCCACGGCCCTCTACAAGTGGGAGATTTACCCCCAGGTGTCGACGCGAAGGCGTGAGGGAAAAAAGAGAAAGAGGCGAAGGGTCAGCGGCTATTTATAGCAGCGAAGAGCGACCCCTGGTGAAAAGGTTAAAAACTGAAGTAGGAATTAACTCCGACAAATCTACAAAGTTATTGTCCCTGGCATGGCATCTCGGCTTCAGTACCTTTCTCACTGCCGTAACGTGGCTTCGCTCTGACTTTTCTATAAATATTTTACGGTAATTTTTTCTGATGAGCTTTCTTCTTTTATACATCGCCTTCACAAATTTAAACACAGTACTAGATTGGCACCTCAAATTTTTACCTGTAACTGAACTTTCTATGCTAATAGAATATTCACCCCCACTTTTCACTTGTGGAACTCTTTTTTTTCCCTCCCTGCTTCCCTGTAAGCTTATTCTATGTGCCATGTTCATTCCGGACGTGGGCTATCACGCCTCTCTATAATTTCCTGTCCTATGGATCTCTTAGTACGTCATTTCGCTATCACTGTTCAGTCAACCATTTACACCAGTTTGTTAGGGGTAGGTTATTCGCTGTTTTCCTCTGTCTATCGTCATTTCAATATATCCTGTGAGGGCCAGATTTACTAAACCCTCTTTCCTCATTAGGAATTTCAACTGCCTCTTTCTGATGTTACGTATGCCTTTCGTTTCTATTTTCTCTACAACTTTGTCATTGCTCACATTTTCAGTCCATGGTATTCCTAGAATCTTTCTCTAGAGCAACAATTCTGTTGCCTCAAGTCTCTTCTCCATCTGTCAGGAAATTGTCCAGCGTTCATTGCCATATAGGAGGACCGATATGGCGTATCTATCTATCTATCTATCTATCTATCTATGTGAGGATTGCTAATATCTATCTATCTATCTATCTATCTATCTATCTATGTTTATCTACTTTAATAATACTACTAATGTCTACTTTAATAATAATCAACTTTAATAATAATCAACTTTCTCTCTACCTATTTCAATCAGATCATATCTGTCAGTTCATCTCTAGCTGATCACAACTATTTCGAGGAATCTATCTATCTATCTATCTATCTATCTATCTAAGCATGTTCATATCTATCTATCTATCTATCTATCTATCTATCTATATCTGTCTGTCTGTCTGAGCGGGAATCTGATCATATCTATTTGCCTATCTCTCTGACTCTATCATCACTCTGTATAACTCTCTTTTTGTATTTGTCTATTAATATATATGTAACTGTACTGATCTAATTTGACAAATATCACTTTCTTATATGACATGCAATCATTCATATCTTGTACCATGGTATCTCCAGGGGGCCATAAAAATCTCTCACTCCTTCTCTCACCATAATTACTTGTCAAGAAGAATTTCTACCTATACACCCCATATATATATATATATATATATATATATATATATATATATATATATATGTCTGATTCTTGTTTCTCTATTTTCAGTTGAAAATTGTCCAGATTCAGCTCAGAGAATGTGTACCCGAGGATTGTGCACTAATTCTATACCAATGTCGTAAATATGTCTTCATTATACGCTTGCTTATTTAATTAACAGCTAATTATATATATATATATATATATATATATATATATATATATTTACGAACCTCCCCTTTCCTCCAACCCTATCGATAGCAGAGGTAGGGGAGGACCATAATCTGTGTTATTTTTTTTCACATTTTACTCAATTTTTGTAAAATATATTTCTTTCCCAAGGGTAATCTTTCCGATTGATCAGACACGGTCGCGTGGAATCGATTAAGGAACAAACACGATAGGCGAAAAACAACAATGGAGACAGGGAAATATAAATTTATTAACAAACGTAAAAACATGGGAAAAGTAAAAACGGCCAAAACAAAGATGACAATATGTCAAGAATAAACATTTAAACATTGTGAATAAAATAGTGGGAGGGGAACATCCTCCTCTTAGGAAGGTGAAACACAAATCAACGTATGGCCTTATGCCATACTTGCACGAATTTACAAAACATCGAAATATTAAACATGGAATAAAAAGGAATCTCATGCTAAACTTGCATGAAAGTATAAACATGAAAAAGAAGTACATTTAAACAAAAATGAAGCACAAGAAAAAACAACGAACTTATCTCGTAATAAAAGTTCTTTTCCACTAAAGTCTCTTATATCTACTTCTTTTTTTTCTCTTTTTCCTTTTATATTTTTTTTATAAGCGTCTCCTTTTGAGGTCTTTTCTTACTTCCTCTCTTTCTCTTTTCGTCCTGTCTAGGGACTTGGCCGATGATGAAGTTGAAAATGCCTTCCCTCTCTCTTTCGTTTCGGTATAGCAGCATTCTCGTTTGAGGTGGTCTTTTCTTTCTTTCTTTCTTTCTTTCTTTCTTTCTTTCTTTTCCCTTTCATCCTTTGTTTAAGGGCGTGGTGACAATTAAGTTGAAACTGCTTTTTTTCTCTCCTTTTCCTTCATCTCGTTGTGGCATCATTCTCCTTTGAGGTATTTTCTTCCTTTCTTTCCTTTTCCCATAAGTATCTCCCTTTGAGGTCTTTCCTCTTTCTTTCTTCTTTTCTTTTTCTGTAAGCTGTCTTCTGTCTCTCTTTCATCCCGATGTAAGGGCATTCCGCATACATCGTCAACGAGTCCATCTATTCCATTCGGAGATGAATTCTCCTTCTCGTAATTTCGCGAACACGTCTTTTCAGCCATTAAGCCTGGACACAACTCTTTTACTTTTCGCAAACACGTGTTTTCGGTCCGTAGGCCTAGACGAGACTCACTTTTTTGTGTTCACTATTCGTTTCCTTTTTTTTCTTGTCAGGTGGTCAATTTTCAAATACGAAATTTTTCCCATTATGGGTGAAAAGAGGTCATCGACCCCCTCTCTTATCTGCAGGGTCAGGGAAAGTTTAGATTAAAGTGTTTCAACTTTTTTCTATCCGAAATCTATCCGTGTAAATCGTGCTGTCAACACGTTGACCAAAAGAGAAAGAAAGGGTACATTCTGGTTAATCTTTGTCACCACTAAGTCTACCTATCTCTTTGGGCTCACTCACTCTACGTTTCTGCAAGTACTGGGCTCTTTATTTAGAATGCTTCTAAAATATAAGCAATGGTATAGTTTTTATAATAAATTTAGAAGGGGTTCGTAACTATATATATATATATATATATATATATATATATATAGGTAAGTGTAGAATGAATAGAATACAATTCCAACGTTCGTAACATTTGATTTAAAAGAGGGCTTAATATAAAGTAGATTAATATAATTTATTTTAAGATATTACACCGAAAGCATGTCAAAATCACTACATAATTGCAGTCGTGTTTTGATATATATCAATGCATCTCATCGGGCGATTGTAAATTTATAATCACCTGATGAGTTGCATTGATACATATCGAAACACGTCTGCAGTTGTGTAGTGATTTTGACATGCTTTCGGTGTAATATCCTAAAATAATATATATATATATATATATATATATATATATATATATATGGTTAGATTGATGTGAGTTTGTGACCCTGGGTTTCACGCTTTTGCGATCGTCAGACAAAGTGATAAATTTTTTTTAAATTTTGGGTTTATGTAGATTGCGTGTATTGGTGTTATTATGGAAGTGGGGGGGGGCGGAGAATCGTCGTCGTGATGTCACTCATACTAACGGAAGCATGTCCGTACATCCGATGAGGTACGCAGACACGCATACACACTCGCTCGTCCGCCGGGGCTCATACAGATATAAACATATGTGGACAATATGGGATTTGACATATGTATGTATATGGGTGGTGTTGTGTCTATACATACGCATTTGTATGTTGAAATTCAAAGATCGGAAGTGTCGCGAAAATTTCTCGTGAATGTCTCTTGAATGTATACATGTCAGTAATCAGAGCATTTTTCTATTTTTTCGCTGAATAATATTTCCTCGCATCCACGTATATACGTGTGGTGGGGTCTGTGTAAAATTATGATAGGTAAAAATTACTATTATTTTTATTTTTAATTTTTTTAAAAAGTTTATTTGTTATTTTAAAGCTGGTTATTTGCTTGTTTTTGAGGACTGTGTGTATATGTAACTGGTAGAAATTTCGGTTTGTGATCTTTATTAGTTATTTTTATGGTTGTATTAAATATGCTGGGGGAGGGGGTAGTTTACGTTAATAATTATAGCTGGTTTATATGATAATAGTAGATGTGATGTGGTAGTAATGGTGTTGGGTGTTGGTGGTAATGATAATATTAGTAGTTAATAGTTATTGTAAATTGGTAGAAGTGTTTAGTAATGGTGGTGGGATAATAATAAAAAACAATAAATGTAATTATTGTGGTGCTAGCTTGAACTAAAAAGTGGTTGTTGGTGTTTTAATTTATTTTATTTCATATATTTATTTATTTATTTTGATATAAATCCTGATAATAGGTATTCTGTGTAAAATTATGATAGGTAAAAATTGCCATTATTTTTATTTTTAAAAGTTTATTTGTTATTATTTTAAAGCTGGTTATTATACCAAAATAAATAAATAAAAAATACACCAAGACGCAACATTTATAATCCATAATTTCATCTTCCACTTCAGGGATGACATGATCCTATACTGTTACGAATGTTTTGGCTCTGATTTTGAAAGCAAGTGTCAAAGACTAGAGGTTTGTATTTCATTTTTATTTGCTGGCAGTTTTTAATTTGTTTTTATGATTTATTTAAGCGACTCTCTATGATACTAGATCACTGTTCCAGAATCTTCTGTGAAAATCGAGCATATGACTTCAGAAACATGATTTTAAATATTTTACGGCCATAACGAACGGTATTCATGGTATTATTGCCAGTAGTGTAGAGGAGGGGAGGGCGATTTTTTTTAATGGGGGCAACACTTTTGGGCTCTGCTGTATAAACCTATATAGGCACTATTGAAATAAAACTGGTTTTAATGTCGAGGCAATGTACACAGTTGAACGCCCTTTTCGACTTCGAGTAACTTAAACTATAGCATATGTATTTAAGCGATTGTTATCTTGACCGAACAATAAACATTATCCAGTAATATATTCAGGGTTGCTTTATCATTATTGACAATATGACACCTGTGAACGGACTCAGAGTGTGTTCTTGTACTGCTGTGTGTGGGAGACACATCTTGGTTGTTATATGAATTTCAGTTATTTTCTTTGACAGAAGTTCATTTGAGTGAATGTGTTGCCTTCTTTTTCGACTTTTGGGTCTGGCCTGTTTTGGACAGACGAATTTTGTGCGTGGTTATATTGTTATTTTTTTTTTGTGATTTGACCGATTGTTTGGGTTACCCTCTGACCAGCGCTCATCAACCAACTATCTTTTAGCTTTGATTTGTTTTTCCAAATTACTTTATTGTATCCCAACTTATTCACTTTTCTTGTCATTAAACAACTATCAGTATTTTTGCTTTATTATCAAATCACCTACCAAAGATGTAGGTCAAGATGTGTTATATAAAGGGGAAACTAGGAAACGGACACGCGAGTGTTTTTTTTCAAACTCTATCAATTGGCGAAAGAGTGCTAAGATCATGAATGGTGTCCTCCACTTTCAAGGAAGCTCTTAACTGCTTTTGTTGCAAATTGTTTTCAAACAGAAAGAACTCAAAATTTAATTCTGAGGATGGGTTCAAAGGTAAAGGGGCGGAAAACTCAAGGGCTACCCCAGTCGACACAGACTCTTCAGCGAGTAGAATGCAGTCTGCACCGGGCGATACGCACTCTGTCCTGGGCGGTAAGCACTCTGCCCTGGACGGTAATCACTCTTTTCTGGGCGATACGCACTCTGTCCTGGGCGGTAAGCACTCTGCCCTGGACGGTAATCACTCTTTTCTGGGCGGTAAGCACTCTGTCCTAGGCGGTAAGCACTCTGTCCCGGGCGTTAAGCACTCTGTCCCGGGCGGTACACACTCTGCTCTGGGCGGTAAGCGCTCTACATCTACAGCACCCTGTTCCGGCCGGTAAGCCCATTGTTCCGGCCGGTAAGCACTCTGCCTCGAGCGGTACACACTCTGTCCCGGGTGGTACAAACTCTGCCCCAGGCGGCACACACTTTGCTCCGAGCAGTACACAATCTGACCGAGGACGCACGCACTCTAGCTACGCCACTGATTATTACTTGGACATAGCTGTCTTAAGAAATTCTGTAACTATGTTGTGAATCTCAACTTATTCCCAGTTGCTTCATAGAACTGTATACTCACCTTTACATGAATATGAGTCTTCATCTTTTTTATTTCCCGTGTTCTTTTCGAACTGAGCGATGATAGCTCTCCACCATTTCCTATCCTACGTAGTTCTATCCATTTCAATCCATATTTTGCCATCAATTACACACGTTCTTTTCTTATGTTACTCTATATTTCCCTCTGCTTGTCTGCTTTCAATATATCTTGTGAGTGTCAAATTCTCCAGGCCCTCTTACTTTATTATGTATTCCAGAAATTTCAATTATCTCTTTCTGATGCTAAGCAGGAGTGTTCTTTTCACTTCCATTTTCCTTAAAACTTTTTCGTTGCTCACATGTTTCGTCCATGATATACTCAGCACCCTTTCTGTAGAAACACATCTCTGTTGCTTCAAATCTCCTCTTCATCTGTGAAGAAAATACCTAGCATTTACTACCATATAGGAGGATTGTTATTACGTAGCAGTTCAGTACTCTTTTCTTTGTAAGTAAATTTTCTTATTTTTAATACTTTGTTTAGCTTTTGGGAGATATCATTCGCTCTCCTGATATTACAATTCAATATGAATTATTTTCAAAGTTAACGCCAAGATTTGAACTTATTCAACTTATAATGCCTAAAAGGATGTGCAGCGTTTTCCTGTTTATGAAAGGTACTTGTAAGACATTTGCAATATACCACCTCTCTCTCTCTCTCTCTCTCTCTCTCTCTCTCTCTCTCTCTCTCTCACTGACGCTCTTTCTCTTACTCTTAGAATTTCAGGTAGACGTTAGACTTTCAGAAACAAATATCGGAATTTGAGGAAACGTCTCAGAATTTCAGATGAGGCATCAGAATGTCATTAAAAATGTCAGAATTACAGATAAAACATTAAAATTTCAGAAACACATCAGAATTTCAGATAAAACCTCATAATTTCATAAAAAAATCACATTTTTAGAATAAATGTCAGCATTTCAGACAATTTCAGAAATTTCAAAGAAACAATAGAATTTAAAAACATTCAAATTTCAGAAAAAATATCAAGATTAATAAACAGCACAAGGATAATGGTAACATTGCTACTCATAAACAATATTAAGAAAATCGAATAGTAAAAATAGACAGATGATCCTTAAATCAATGTTCATACACAAAAAATAACTTTCTGTAAAAAAATACAATTTAAGAGCTCGTGTCTCCAAATATATATATATAAATAAAAAAATAATGTAAAGTACAAAACACACATACGCACACACACACCTTGTCTTGTCACAACACTCTTTGCCTACGTCACAACACTCTTTGCCTACGTCACAACACACATCCTTTTTGTCTCTACCTACCTTGATGATGAGAGTGAAAAGCTTGGAAAGCTTAAGAAATGAACTGCGAAGAATTTCTAACGGAATTTTCTTTTTGTCTAAGAAGGATTATTAGTAATTTGGAAAAGACGATCAATAAATTCAATAAGCACAAAATGACTGTTGTCTTTAATAATACTTGCATTCAAGAACATCTTTTAACTAAATAAACACAATACACACACACACACACACACACATATATATATATATATATATATATATATATATATATATGGAGAGAAAGAGAGAGAGGGGGAGAGGGAGATAATTGTGCATATATCTGTGTGGTCAAACTATTAAAACATTAAATAGATTAGGGATATTGTTTCGACAGCTTCTTCAGTTA